AAAAAAAAAAAAAAAAGGGAATGCAAAGGGAGCATATCAAACTGTTGACATTGGTTGTCTCTGGTGTTTTTTTTGCTGATTTCTGTGTTTCTCTCACCTACATTTCCTATGGTGTATGTGTATTTTTAATGGTGAGGGGTTTGAAGCAATGCCAATAATAGCAATTATGTCTGATGTTAAAAAAATACCCAAATCTGAAGCTGCACCAAGAGCACGCAGCTTCTGACTGTCCCAGGCTACACTGTCTGCAGAGGTCCAAGTGACTTATGGTTCACGTAACTCGAGCTCATGAACATGGGGGCTGGGTCAGTGTCTCTGAGACCCCATGCCCAGGGCAGGCACACTCAGGGTGCGACTGTGTGTCCGGGGAAGGGTGGGGGGTTGCCAAACCCACATTCATCACCACCCTCTGCCCGTGGCAGGGGGGCCAGGCCTTACCCTGTGATCCACCAGAAGGTGATCCTGGAAAGAAAGGAGGCGCCAGATTCCGGGCAAGGGTTCTAGTGGAGAGAAAAGAGGATGGGGAGGAAATGAGAAAGGAATGATTCAAATGCTCGTCTACACCAGGGCTCAGCAGGGAGCAGTCAGCACACGTCTCTACCTCCCAAAGGGCCAGCACCCACTCTCACGCCACTGAGCTGCACCTCGAAAGGATCTCCCTCCTGAGCCCTGGTGGCCTTGAAAGAAATGCACGGCAGCTCCTCTAGTTTCACCCAGATAATATTTCCTGAGTGTCTCCTATGTGCAAAAACAGTACAGTGCATCGCATACCTGCCTTATCTCACATCCCCATAGCAACCCGATGGGGGTGGTGCTACCACTGTCCCCACTTCACTCCATCATTCATTCATTCATTCATTCAACAAATATTTTCTTAGCCCCTACTACGTGCCTAGCATCGTGCACACAAATCGGAACACACAGACAGGACCCCTCCCTTTAGGAAGCCCATAGTATACTAGGGTAGTAGAAGTAGCAGTAATATCACCACCACCACCTGTTAACATTCTCCACATGAGCTGAGTGCTTTATACAGATCATGTCACTTCATCTTCATAACTACCCTACGAAGTAGGGAAAAGCAATCACCTTCACTTGGTAGTTAAATTGAAAGGGCCAGGGCTGAAATGACTGGTCCAGGGTCCCACAGTGAGAAGGTGTGAGACAGGATGTGAGCCCCCAACAGTCAGGCTCCGGAGAGAGACAGTCATCAAACGATCCCCTGAACAAACACAACACAGCAACTGCGACAGGGATCACAGCCTGGAGGCGGGTATTACCAGTGAGATCATGGTGCCTTACTGGGCTCACTGGAAGAGTCAACAGGGGATGAGGACTGACGTAGTTGATAGAGGCCATCCAAGGGCAACGGGAAGCCACGGACAGCTTCTCAGCAAGCTTTCAAAGGACCTCTTTCCCAGGCAAGGAAAGGGACATCAGCCTCTGGGTCTGCACTTTCAACACTGACACGCTCAGGTCTCACTCAATTCTGAAGCAGCAGCTTTAGTGACGGGGGATCACCACGCAGTTAGTCATGAGATCTTCAGCTGAGGGTGGCGCTCAGCGTTCCAGTATTTTTCAGAGATAAGGCATTTAGAGACACCCTCGACCCAAGTGGTTGTCCATCCGGGCTGGAAGCACTTTTAGAAAACACCATATCTGCCCCAACCCCCCACCGCCGCCACTGCCCCAGAGAGTCGGATTAACCTGGTTTGGGGAAGGGGCTCAGGCATCTGAGTGTTTTGTGTTTTTAACTCCAGATTCTCCTTGGCAAAGAGCTTGGCAGGAAATGCGCAAGACAAGCCTAGAACCTCTTGTCACACGCGACACTAAGGAAACTGAAGCCAGGTAGGATTGTTGAAAGGCCTTGGGAGCAACCAGAAGTGGCTGCCACTCGCCCACAAAGGGACAATCTGAGCTGCAATAAGGAAAATACATAGAATGGACTGAAACACATCATGTATGTTTAAATATACAAGTTCACGCTGATACTGGACAAAAAGAACCACCTCTTGGTGTTACTGAGGAAAAGATGCGAGGAAACCAAGTCATTGTACTGGAAATAGAGTAAGGGCAGGAAACAAGCATTTTTCCTGCCTTTCCTAAAGGAACTACACCACGGGGTGGAGTGGCGGGAAAGAGACAAGGGGAAATGTCTTTGGATAGAAATAGCCCAGCTAATAAACGAAGAAGGAATAATACAACGTAAGACAATGCGCCACGTTGCAACCACAATGGAGTACTGAATTATTATTGTTTCTAGGCCAGATAATGGTGTCACAGTTTTACTGCTTAAAACCCTTATCTTCCAGACACCGTCACTGGGGCAAGCCGGGAGGAGGATATACAGGAACTCTTATCTACAATTTTTGCAACTTCTCGTGCATCAACTTATTTCAAAATAAGAGTTATTAAAACTTTAAAGTGCCTTTGAATTTTCTACATGCGAGGCAGGGTCAAGTCCATGACAGTTCATGATACTATGCTGTCTGTCCACTTTTGTACACATATGAGTTTCCAACCCAAAAAGTTCTCCCAGTGATTCAAACACACAGCCTCCTGGGCTGAGAACCACCCAACCTCCTGCAGAGGTTTCCAGCCCCGGCTGCCCCAGAATTGCCCAGGTGCCCAAGGTCCCAACCCAGACCAACTACCTCAGTGCCTCTGGGGATGAGGCCCTGGCATCAGTCTATTGTTAATGAGGTAAATCAGATGCAGCTGACCTACAGGCCTACACTACAGACCATCCTACAGCAGGAGGAGTTCAGACGACGGAGCCAGATGGACCTGGGATCAAATTCCAGTTCTGCCATTTTCTAGCTGAATGACCTTGGACAAGTCCCTTCCCCCCTAAGCCTTGGTTTTTGCTACAAGGTGGGACAAGTGAGATGAGGTCCATGGGACTGTGTTGCAAGACGGAATTCTTCCAACCTAAGGTGGCAACAGTAATCATGGAGGAGGCGGTTGGATTTGCTCTGTAGGCTGGTTTTTCTTCCGGAAGTGGGTGGGTTATCAGGGAATCCCAAATGTTCTTCAACTGTAGCACGATTCCTACCTACAGTGGAAAGCTAAGCAGTGCTGGAGGCGGAGGAGGAGAGGGTGGGGCACAGCTGGCCATGACTCATTTATTTCTTGAGCAAATATTTAGGGAAGCCCTGCCTATATGCCAGGAGGCAGCTAAAGGCTGGGGACACAGCCAGGAAGGAGGCAGCGAGGTCCCCACCCCATACAACTTCTAACTGAGGGGGACACGGACAGGAAGCAAACCAAGGTGCAAATAAATATATAAGTATAAACGGTGAAAGCTGCAACAAAGGAAAGATACAGGGTGCCAGAGACAGAGGGGGGAGGGGGGGGCTTATGTGTCAGGCAACACATGCCTACCTAGGAGGTTAGAGAGTTTGAATCCCAGCTCTGCCATTTACCAGCTGTGGAACCCTGGGCAAGTTACACGGTGGTGATGAAATTAAATGAGATAAAACATGTTAAGTACTTAGAATAGCACCTGGCACAGAGTAAAAGCTCATGAAATGGCATTACTAGTAATAATATAAGGGTCAGCAAACAAAGGCCGGCAGGCAGGCAGGCGGGCCACTTGGCAATAAAGTTTTATTGGGATGCAGTGATGCTCCTTCGTTTACATAACGTCCGTGCTGCTTTTGAGCTGCAAGGGCAGAGCTGAGCAGCCGAGACAGATACCACACGGCCTGTAACACCTGAAATGCTGTCTGGCTCTTTGCACAAAATGCTGGCTGACCCCTGCTCACGTCAGACCTCACAACACCCTAGGAGACAATGATTAATAAGGGGGAAACTAGGGCTCAAATGAGGGCCTTCTGCCTCCCAGTCCAGTCTTCCTTCAGGCTTGGCATCCACAGGGAGTAGGGCTGTGCAAAGTTACACCTTACGCAGAGATGCCCAGCTGAGGGGCAAGTGGGGGCTACAAGGCACCCCGTGCCCAGCTCCGCCAAGCCCTGTGCGAGGGAGGGGCTGTATCAGCTTGAAGGACACAGGGCCTATCCCAAACTCACCCACCCAGGGCGGGTGAATCATCTTTTTCTAATTTGCACAGAGGCACGGTACAAATAGCAGAGGTGTTAGGCATATACCCACAGGGGCCTCACAAACGCTGGCCTCCATTCAAAGTCGGGCGAGTCCAACTGCAGGTCAGGAATGCAGCAACCTGTGGACTGCACAATTAAAGGTGAATTTGCTCCTTTTCTACCTAAGGAGACCGTAAGAAATGATGGCTCCCGGGGAAAAGATGAATCCTCACGCTGCTGGTGAAAAATCCTGGCCCCTGTGAGAGAATTTGCTCTGTAAACACAGTGAGGCCGGACTATCACCACGAACACTCCGGTGTGTAATCTGCACACTCCCACAGCTTTGTCAAATGCGTCTCCCCAGCCCTCCTCCCTGCTGGATCCAAACACGGGTTTTCAGATTATCGGAAGCCATGTTGGGCCGACACAGGGTCCCCGTCACCAGCCGGAGAGAAGGAAATGCTTATGGGTTTGGGAGCCGGTTTCCGGAAGTCCCTAGCTGACGTAGAAGGCCTTATTTGATAACAGGCAACTGGAGCTCTGAAGCGGCCAAGAACTGATGATTACAAAAAGAAAAGAAAAAAAAAGGCTATTGCATAAGGATCCAGATGGCAGAACGTTTAAATGAAACCAAGCAGGACATTCTGGTATAATATAATGCATCAAGTACAAAAGCCGGACTGCCAGATCTGGGTTTCCAGCCCCTGAGACTGAAACGGACCAACTCCTGACCCAGGATGAAGGAGGCTGATGAACTGGTCCCCCAGTCATTTAGAAATGAGAATAATTCCCACAAGCCCAGGCTGAAGGCACAAGGAAAGAAAATCTGATTTATGCAATCAGAGCTGCGTTCTTTGGCATCTATGTCTGGCTCTCGGGTGACTTAGCCAGAAACTATGTGGACTGAACCAATTTGGTACAAGAGCCCCAGGCACTGGTTCTTTTGAGAATTCATTCATCAACTTTCATACAAGATAGTTTGTGGGGGGACCTTCTCTACATCTTTTGCCATTCTGGCCTTTTTGTCAGAAATTATCTGGGACCCCAACACACCTTTTCTGGTGTTGATTCTGCTTTTAGTTCAGTTGTCTGCCGGTGGCTCCCACCTGCGTTTCCTAATGCTCAGGAGTAAGGGATGGGTGAGGCAGCATAGCTTAGAACAAGGGTTCTCGAATGGGGCCCCCATCACCAGTTTCCAAAGCACCTGGAGATTTGTTACAAATGCAAATACTGCGGCTCCACCCAGATCTAGTGACTCAGAAGCTCTGGGGGTGGGGCCTGGTGATGTGTGTTTCAGCAAGCCCTCCTGGAGATGCCCGGGCTTGCTCAGGTGTCCGAACCCAACGGAAGGGCTCCCCGATCCAGCCTCGTGGCTTAGGCAAGACACTTCACCACTCCGACCCTCGCTGTTCTCATCTGTAAAATCCTGCCTCGTGGGGTTGCTCCGAGAATTAAAC